ATCACACTACAAACAATACAAAACTATAATGCTATAAGAAACAGAAAAGATTAATTCATTGTTTACCTGGGTCGTCAGTCTATGATTAGCTCACCTCACTTCTTATCTGACAAGTCTTCGGGTTTGCCCATAAGCTTAACCAATGCAGTCTGAGCCGGAAAGAGAATTGAATAGTTCATCTCTCAAGTCTTTCGAATCGTTCGTTCTTTTGACACATGACGTGACAGCATTGGATAGAGAAATTAGTTCATTTACAAGCTTCCTTACAAACGGGTGCATAGTTGTTGTTATTATTATTATTATTATTATCATCATTATTATAATTATTATTTACTCTTACAGTTACGTGATGCGGCCCTCCCTTTGAGCCGCTACAGTCTGTTGACCTTCGTCCCCTGACGCTAAAATGATTTAAAAGGCATAATTTAATTTTTTTGAGATAAATTTTACTTTTATTTCTCCATCAGGGTGTGGCCAAAGGTTTCATTGGTGCTTTCTCATCATTGCAAATTTTCAGATGCTGGCCAGTCACTTCTTCCAAGGCTCCAAACACTGCCATGTGATCAGACCGCTACACTGCAACTACATAGTGTGTGTCTACTTTCAACACTAAGACTTAAGGTAATATGTGTAAAATTTTAGAGTGTTTACTACAATTAAAATGTGCTTTATTGTTCTCAGTGGCATCTACGCTAATATTAGACTGTCTCATTCTTATTCCGAGGTCACCGTAGCCACCAGATCCAGTCTGTATCCTGATCAGATGGTCACTGCTGTCACCCGGATCCAGGCCGTCTGCAGTCCAGATAGTGGATCAGCACCTAGAGACGCCCTCGACAGCCCTGAATGTCAGCGGAGACCAGGACAACTGGATGAGCCCCAGAGACAGATCCCCTCTGAAGACCTCGTCACTTAGACGGCCATCAGGACAAGACCACAGGAACCAGACCAGTCCTCTGCACAATCTGACCTGTGTTGCAGCCTGCAATTAAACTGCTGGATTCATCTGGCCAGAGAAGAACGATGGAGTTTTGGTTCCTTCGACACACATTTTTCTGTTTAATAAAGCTGCTTTGACACAATCCGTAGTGTAAAAAGCACTATGTAAATACAGTGACTGGACTTTACTTGACTCAGTTCAGTTGAACTGTAACACCTGGTTCATACATTTTTTTCTGCCTCATTTTAAAGATGTAATTGTGAACAGTAGTAATATTTGTAAATGTTTGTTTGCAAACATTTTGTTTAACTGTGGCTGCCGGTTTTTGATTGTTTAGTTTCATAAGTCCTCAATGTGTCCTCAGGAGCCTTTGGTAATTTGGTCTTGTCTGTATATGTTTATTTGACTCTCAAAAGTCGGCAACCAGAGACGTGCAGTTTATGAATTGCAATGTTTTCAAAGACAATGTTTTCACCTAAAAATCTTCTTTCAGTAAATGCAGATTGTTATTAAATAAAGGCTATTAGGTGTTGTATTGTGTGTGTTTTAGTGATTGATAGACACCAGATAATAATTTTTTTAACTCGATATAAAATATAACTAGTTCCACAGCAATTTCTTATGTTGCCCAATTGACACAATTTGCTGTAGTTTTCTAAATGTTTGACCAATTAAATAATTTTAGTTGAATGGACTATAAAACTATTTCAGTAAAGGTTGAGCCAACTAAAAAATAACAATTCAGGCAACACTTTGAAGACAGAAATTGACTGAACGTAAAATTTCTGTGGAACTAAATAATAATTAGTTGAAACGGCTTGAAATTTTTTACAGTGTGAAGGAAGCTGAGTTATACAGTACGTAGGCTACCTTTTACAGCTATGCACAATTTATGATTCATTTGACAAGCTCTTTTTCCTCAGAAAGCGACCTTTTAACATCTAGCAGGCAATACATCCGCATGAAGCTCTGTACAAAGCTCCTCAAATCAATCAATCCATCACAAAAAGGTTACAGACTGTGTAAGCACACACTGAGTCATAAACGGAGTTAAGCTGTGCACATTTAAAGACTGGCTGAATATTTCTCTTTTTATTTTAAAAAAATCCCTGGAATGACATGCTTGGGAAAAAAAAACACCAACCGGGAGCTTAATTGCTCAGCTCTGGTTCAAGGGCTGAGATGGAGCTCTGCCAGTGTCTGTTTTTGGCTTGGCTAAAGCTAACTTTTAAGAGCGGTGTTGTCAGAGATGCAGCGTGCCACCCACCCTGTTCAGTTTCCTCTCTCTTCACGAGGCTGAGTCATGCTGCCGTCTATTATTCATAACTGCAGATACCTGCTTTAAATTTAAAACCGCTTACGAGCCCTAAAACGTTTGGCCACTCCAATCTTGAATTTATGCTGATCGGAAATAGTTAAAGATCCTCTTTACTGTCAATGTCAATACTTCTTTAATGGCAAAACTTTGGCAGTTTTTGAGTTTCAAAGACTTCATACAGTATTCCAAATCACAAAACATTAAAGTGACATCTAACTAAAATGAAAAAATATATACACTACCAGTCAAAAGTTTATGAACCGTAAGATTTTTAATGTTTTTAAAGAATTCTCTTCTGCTCACCAAGCCTGCAATTATTGGATCCATAATCCACATTTTATGTGAAATTACATTTTTAAATATATTCAAATAGAAAGCAGTTATTTTAAATTAAATAAAGTACAAATATTTCACAACATTACTGCTTTTGCTGTATTTGGATCAAATAAATGCAGGTGTGGCGAGCAGAAGAGAATTCAAAATATTCATACTGTTGGTGAACAGTATTCCGAGTTTTTGCTCCAAACATTGTTTTATTATGGCTGATCCTTGATTAATCTGGATTGTGACTAAAATGCAAATGATAGTTGCCTGTCATTTCAAATCGCTACAGATATTTTTTTGTTTAAGGTCAGTTCAGCTTGTTTCATTCTTTCTTGTTTCTTGCTTTAACAAAGAAAAAAATTGCAGTCAGTATCGGAATTGGCCCAATTGCTTGCAAAATTGGAAAAATCATGAACGGTGCATCCCTAATTATCATAATGGCTCACCAAACTCACTAATATTAAGACACTCAAAGGAATAAATGTTTTCAACCCTTATACGTAACAAAAGGAACCACAATAGAAATATTTTCCCAGACACAAGTGGGTGCTGTTAACAGAATGTGTTCTTTTCATGTCAACACGCTCACGTTAATTACTGAGAAGTTGCATAGAAAGGCATAGTTTAATAGTTATAATAGTTTAAAATGGCTCCATTAATGCCTTGTTTGGTGTAACTGCTGTCCAATTGCTCTTTGCTGTCAAAAAAGCCTTTTTTAAAAGACCAAATCAGTAATATGCACCGGTGCTGTGTAAACTATCATGAAATAACAGACTCATCTCATCAGTGTTTGCACGCTCTGTTGCATCAAAAAATGGGAAAACAAAAAAGGTACTTTAAATGTAACATATTGCAAGTCTCCGAACTAGAAAACTGAGAGGATTGCATTGCACAAGGCGCACTGCCCCGCAAATGGCTTTTCAAATACTGTCCCCTTTGATTGTCTGGCTTTGATGACGCTGGTTTTCAGTGATTGCACAATGAGTAGAGGAAATAGATTCATGAGATGGGACATCATGCTTTCAGGCATAATCCTGGCAGGGGATGCTTGAAAAGAGAGGAAATATAAGCTCAGGTGGGGGGAAAAAGGAGGGATGAGGAACAAAAACACTTGGGACATGAAAGATCTGCTGCTACTGCAGCCAGACCAAATAAAGCATCGCCTGTGTTTCAATTCCTCCGGGTGGTCTCTGCACCCAGCAGGTAAAACTATCTCTCTGCTGTCTCCTTCAATAGCTCTCCTATTACACTCACAAATCCATTCGGAGTCTCATCAGCCGTCACCAGTAGCAAAAGCATTGTCTATAAAAGTCACCTGTTCACTTTCCCCAAAGGCCTACAAAGGAATCAACACTTTGCTAAAATGTGTTCTGCTTTTTTGGTGCTAGCGGTGGGTGGTAAGACCAAGACTGCAGCAACTTTTATAACTGGGCGTAAATAGGCTTTTTGCCCCTCCAACTTTTTGTGCAATGGTCATTATAATTTAAGAGCTTAGTTTTGCTTAGCCAAAGTGCAAACGAAAACACTGAAGCTTTAAGACCAAACTCTGAAAACCTCTAGCATTGATGCAAAACACTGAAACATCCTTAATACAGAAAAAAATATATATAAAAACGTATTTTCCAAGTTTATTTGCAAATTGCTTTCTCTTGTTTTAAGCATAAATTATAATCTTGTGAGGTTTATGCTTAAAGCATAAAAACAATTTGCCAATGAGGTAAGAATTCAAATAATTTAAATACTTTCTAAAATAGGCTGTAATATCATCATAACAATTTCGATTCTCACAAATTAATTTTGTTCTAAATATGTTTAGATATTTTTACAGGAATACAAGACAAATGTACTGATTTTTTTGCAGTGTAAGCAGCGTTTCAGAAAATAATTTATGACTATTGGGCCAATGTCACCTGATTAGTATTCATGAGCCATACTAACAAGGACTGGTACATGTTATATAGATTGTTTCCAGAGGGGAAGTCGTGGCCTAATGGTTAGAGAGTCGGACTCGTAACCCAAAGGTTGTGGGTTTGAGCCTCGTACCGACAGGAATTGTAGGTGGGGGGAGTGAACTACACTACTGTGTGTGTGCACTAAGGATGGGTTAAATGCAGAGCATTATGGGTAACCATACTTGGCCACATGTCACGTCACGTCACTCTGGACTAAAACTTTCATTTTATATCACTGTAACGGCACACATCACAATAGTTATTTTAGCAGGAAAAAATGTTCACTTTAAACTGTTTGTAATATGTCCTGCTCTATATTTATTTATTTATTTATTTTACACCAAGGATGCATTAAATTAACTGGCACTAAATACACTGAAGACTTAAGTAAAATTCATTTTAAAATATATTAAAGTATAAAACTGCTATTTTAAACTGTAACAATATTTTAAAATATTACTGTTTTTACAGTATTTTGATCAAATAAATGCAGCCTTGGTGAGCATTAAGAAACTTCATTTAAAAACATTTTAAAAATCATATCAATTCCAAACCTTTGAACGGTATCTGGCAGTTGATTCTTTTCATAGCCTGGTCTATACTGTGATACAGCCCAACCCTATTTTATACCTTCAAATGCACCGATAAGGGCAA